TTTCCCAACAACCCAATAGAAATTAAAGTTTTTCTTCTACATGTGGAGTCTTAATAAAATGATTGCAGTCATTCATTTTATACATTACTATTTTAGCATGATTGTTTCCTGCATTTGTAGTCCTCTACTTGATTTCTTTTCTCACCATGATCTACCTCCCACCAGAAATAAAGCAATACACTGTTTAAAAAAATAATATTGGGGAGCCAGCAGGTGGCATGGTGGTTAAAGATGCTGGATTCCACCACAGACTGTGGTTCAAGTTCCAGACCTGATGGCTTGCTTTCTCTCTCTCTCTCTCTCTCTCTCTCTTTCTCTCACTCTCCCTTTGTCCCTCTCTGGTAAAATTTAAATAAATAAATAAATAAATGAATAAATAAAATAATTATTTTAAAAAATAATATTGGGTTGTCAGACAAGTCATGACGTATTTTTTCTATGTAAAAATAAATCCTGACTTGGGACTAGCAGTTAGTGCAATGGCTAAGTCACTGGATTCCCATGTAGTCGACTGCAGTTCGTGTCCCAGACCTGGTGGCTTAAAACTCACGCCGGGCATGTGCGTGCGTGCCCAAGATCCCGAGAGGAGAATGGAGGAGAAGGGATTGCTGCATGGCCATCCCCCCTGAGGGGTGATTTCTTGCTTTCTGTCTCTCTGTCTCTGTCTGTCTGGCAAGTGCACATGCCCTGTAGCAAAAAAATCTCTCAAAAAAAATTTTTTTTTAAAAATGCTGACTTTTCCAACAACCCAATAAGTATAAAGACCAGAAAAAACAACTGTTACTGTTTGCAGATGTTATGATTGTCTACATTAAAAAAAAAAAAAAAAAAAAAAAGATGCTCTCCCTTGGTGGGGCTGGGACATTGGGATTCAGTTTCCAGCCCAACCTAAAAGAAGCCAGGGGCACTGGTGGTCTTGGCTGCTGGGAGTCTGGGGCAAAGAATCATGATATAGTAAGACCCTGACAAAAATAGCTCTCTCTCTCTCTCTCTTCCTCCCCTTTTTACTTACACACTCTCTAGTCTCCGTCCCATTAGAAATATTTTTTTGAGAGTGTTTTGCTATAGGGAGTGTGCGCTCGCCAGACAGACAGAGAGAGACAGAGAGACAGAAAGCGAGAAATCACCCCCCCACGGGGGATGGACATGCCGCAATCCCTTCTCCTTCAGTCTCCTCTCAGGATCTTGGGCACACACGCACTCACACCTGGCGTGAATTTTAAGCCACTGGGTCCGGGACACGAACCACGGTCGACTATGTGGGAGTCTAGCGACATAGCCATTACGCCAACTGCTGGTCCCCCGCCATTAGAAATATTTTTTTAAAGATTCTATTGGGTTGTCTGAAAAGTCATGATGCATTTTGAAAAATATGTCATGACTTTCTTGACAACCCAGTAATTAATAGATTCCCAAATGTTAATTATTACAATGAATAAAGGAATTTGTAAAAGTTGCTGAGTATAAAATCACTATGCAGAAGTAAACTGCATTTGCTATAAGCAGTAAGCAATTAAAATGTAATTCTAACAATCGATAACATTTAAAATAGCAACCAAGAGCCAGCAGATGGCCTGGAAGTTAAGGCGCTGGATTCTATATGGCTGACTATGCAGTTCTAGTGCCAGACCTGGCGGCTTGAAAATCACACTGGTTGTGTCCATGGCTCCTGAGAACTAGTGATTTCAGGGAAAAAAGAGAAATGAAGATTTTCTACTGATAATTCAGCCTCCAGCCCACAAACTCAAGTGGTAGGGAGCCCCTCTAGCCTTCTCTCTGTCTCTGTCTCTCTCTGCCTCAGTCTCTGTCTTCTCATTTTTTTATAATTTTTCCTCTTAAAATTTTTTTAAGGAAAAGTATTCTCTTGGCTTTCAGCCCCTCCTTTATCTTGCTAATAATTCCCTTTCCCCCGACCCATCCAGGAGAGGAAAGGGGCAGCCCTTCAGAAGAAGACTCCTCTATGGCTTCTGAGAACTAGTGATTTCATGTGGCACACAAGTGTGCTGCACAATTTTTCATATTTCACTTTAAAAAATAATAAAATTTTTTCCTTCTTTTTCTCTCTGTTTCTTTGTGGGGGTTTTTTTGTTGTTTTTCTATTTTTTCCTCTTTCTCTCTGTTTCCTTTTCTTTTTCTTTTATCTCATCACTCTGCTCCTCAATCTCCATTCTCTGTGTTTCTAGACGGATCTAACGAAACCATAGCCAAACATCCAAATACTATTTGGGTTAACATATTCCTCAATATCCACTGAATCTGTTGCACAAAGGGATAAAACTGGAACAGCAAAGGGATTCCAGATCACCTCCTTCTGCACACTCCTGCAATGCTCAGATTGACCTTCCAGTATTAGGAAGAAATGCACCATCCATCAGATGACTAGAAATCACCACAGATTCACAAGAAATATGGGAAAGCAAGAAAATAACTCTCCTCCAAGGACTATAATACAGGAAGTCAAAATCTCCCTTGAAAGTATTAAAAGCAGACTAGATCATACAGAAAATAGAATCTCAAACGTAGAAGAAAAAATGGCTGGCTTAGAAAAATCCACCACAAAGACTGAAAAAATGGCCCCCAAAATAATAATAATATATGAGAAATACTAGATACCATCAAATGTCCAAATATCCATATATTTGGTATCCCAGAAGGCAAAGAGACTCCTAAGGCCATTGATAATCTATTCCATGAAGTCCTGCAAGAAAACTTTCCAAACCTAGAGAGGCACTCAAAGATCTAGTCCCAAGAAATACAAAGGACCCTAAATAGAATCAACTCAAGAAGATCTTCTCCAAGACACATTATCGCCAGATTGACCAAAACCACAGACAAAGACAAGATACTAAGATTGGCTAGAGAAAAATGGCAAGTTACCTACAAAGGATATCCCAATCAGGCTAACAGCAGACCTCTCATCAGAAACAATGTGAGTGAGGAAGGAATTGGAAAATATAACCAAGTATTAATGGAAAAGCAATTTCAACCAAGAATACTGTACATGGCAAGATTATTCTTCATATGGGAAGACAAGAACATTCTCAGATAAACAAAACCTGGAAAAATTTACCACCACCAGAGCAGATCTCCAAGAAGTTCTTAAGGGAGTGCTATACCAGGAAAATTAAATACAGACACACAGAAATAAGAGTTCAAAAACTAAGAAAATGGCCAACTTAATCATAGGGACAAGTCTGCAGGTGAATATTATATCCTAGAATTTAATCAGGAATATTGAATCACAACAGAACATAGATAAAGTACATGAGACTGAACTGGTGAAATAGCATTTTATGACTTTTGACTAAAACATTGCTGATTTTCTCCTGGGCTTTGTTTTCTAGTTTTAAGAATTTTTGTCCTATCTTGAGCTGTTGATAGGTTCATGTACCTACTATTTGAACAGAATCCTTACCTTTTTCCTGGCTTCAAGTTTTAAGCAAAGTTCCTTAGCATTTCTTTGATTTATTAAAGTTAAAACTGCTTTCCTTGAAATTACCAGCTGAACTTTCTTTTGAAAGTAGTTAGATTATATAAGAAATTGTGTGATCAATAAAATGTGGGGGGAAAGGAATAGAAAACAACTGTAGACACTAGAGAGTGTGGGAGGAGGGTGGGAAAGGGCAGAGGGTCAGAAATATACATGCACGTATGTATATATGAAACTAGAAATGGAAAATTATTGACAATAACATGCATGATTAAGCCACTATGCAGTATGCTCTGGATGGGAAATTACTTTTTGTTGTATATTGTGACGATGCTTAGAGAATGAATGTAAATTAATTAATTTAAATAATGTTTCAGAAAAATAAATAGCTCATGGAAATACATGTAATGGGAAAACTATGTATGAATTTTAAAAAGTTTTTGTACCAAAATAAATTCATACTTTAATTGTAAAATAAATAAATAAATTTTAAGAAAAAAGAAAATCACACTGGTTGCATGTGCATGCATGCCCAAGATCCTGAGAGGAGAATGGAGGAGAAGGGATTGTGGCATGGCCATCCTCCTCACCCCCCAAGGAGTGATTTCTCACTTTTCCTCTCTATTTCTCTGTCTCTGGCAAGTGCATGTGCCCTATAGCAAAACCAACTAAATAAAATAAAACAGGAATTTACAAAGAGAGAGGACAGACAGAAAGATCAATAAAAAGATGAACAATTAAAATGAGGGACAGAGAAGAAGAAAACCACAAGAACATCCCACATTAGAATGTGAGCTCCATAGAGGCAGTTTTATCTATTCTGTTCACTGCTAAATCTCCCGTGCCAAGAATAATTTCTGGCACTCAGTAAGTGGCTTACTAACTGTGCGGTAAATGAATTAATGTATAGACACAGGAATACAAAAAACACATCTCCAGACGCATTTTGTAGCCTATCAGACTACTATAGTTTAAGCTTGTTAAACTATTTTGCAGTTCTGAGAATAAGTTATCGTCCATGTTATCTGTGCTGCGCTTCTCCAGTTTTAGATACAGAAATACTGTAGTTTCAATTATTTATATGAATCTTTCTCTTTCAGATTTACAGTCTGTTCATTCATCAGTTTGACACCATATCTTGTTTTCATTATTCTTTGTGGATTTTTGTTTCCAGATGTAACTCCCTTTCAGATAACCTGTCAATATCCTTATTGACCCTGTCTCTGCTTGGATGTGGGACACATACTATGACAAAACTTAATTTTTTTTTTCTTTTAGTTTTTTGCTTTGAGGTGCATGCACTCACCAGAGACAGCCAGAGACAGGGAGACAGAGAGAGGGAAAGTGGCAAATCACTCCTCCAGGGGGGATGGCCACATTGTAACCCCTTCTCCTCCATTCTCCTCTCTGGATTTTGGGCATGTATACACACGCCCAGCATGATTTTCAGGCTGCCATTTGGGAGTCCAGTGCTTTAGTCACCACATCACCTACCAGCCCCCCAAATATAACATTTTAATTATAATCATAATGAAATGTCATAAGCTCTTAAAATATTGACACTACTTACCTGAGAATATGGAATGAGTGTTTCAAACTGTTGATGAAGCTCCAGTAGCTGAATTAATTCAGCATTTTTTTTTGCCTTTTCTCTAATTACATCAATGTAATTTTCAGGATTTTCTGCAAATGAATATGCAGCATCTCTGGTGTTAAAAGTGTAATACTTTTCTTTATATTTCAAAATTCCTATGGCTGGATTTCCTGAAAAGTAAGAAAAATTATTGAATTACATATAAAAGGTTAAATGACTATATGTTTCAAATATACCCATAGAACCATTTCCTATATTTACTGGGACCAGCAGTTGGTGTAATGACTATGTCGCTGGACTCCCATATAACAATCCCCCATTGTGGGGTGATTTCTTGTTTTCTGTCTCTATCTTTCCCGCAAGCACATGCGCCCTATAGCAAAACCCTCTAAAAAATAATATTTATTTATTATTAATATTATTTTTTAACTTCTATGGGGTATGCATGCTCACCAGAGACAGACAGAATGAGAGAAAGAGAGGGAAAAGTGAGAAAGCAAGTTGCCAGGTCCAAGACTTGAACCATAGTCAGCCATTTGGGAGTCCAACACCTCAACCACCACACCACCTGCTGGCCCCCACACTCAATTTTAAATCCATGACATACGTTTTTATTTTGTTAAAATGTTATAATTAGCAATTTTAAGTTTTACCATTTTATTAAATGATATTTTGTGTAAAATTCATTTAAACTACATACTTTTAATTTAGAATGTGACTTTAAAATATACTTTATGAAAAAATACTTTCTATTATAAGATGTTTAATCATATTTTACAAAAAAAAAAAAAAAAAAAAAAAAGGGCCTTAGTCAGGCCAGCCTGTGGCATGTTGCTTAAGGCAGCAGTATCCTAAATGGTCAACTATCCAGTTCAAGTCCTGGATCCAGTGGCTTAAAAAACATGCCAGGTGCATGTGCGTGTATGCTCAAAAATCCCAAAAAGAGAAATGGAAGAGAAGGGATTGTAATGTGACCATTCCCCATAGGAGGTGATTACTCATTTTCCCTATTTCTCTCTCTCTCCAGTGAGCATTTGCACCCTCAAGCAAAAGAAAACAAAACAAAAACAAAAACAAAAAACCCACACACAAAAAAATAATCCTTAGTCATCTGGCAGATTTCTCAAATCTACTTAAACTAAACTACTATAAGGATTGTTTTAAAAATAATTCTGTGAAGGGTCAGCAGGTGGCATAGTGGTTATGGCGCTGGATTCCCACATGGTCAGCTGCAGTTTAAGTCCCAGATCTGGCAGCTTGAAAATCACACAGCTGCATATGCATATGTACCCAAAATCCCAGGAGGAGAATGGAGGGATTGTGGTGTGGCCATCACCCCAGGAGGGTGGTTTTACACTTTTCCTCTCACTATCTCTGGTGAACACACTCATCCTGTGGCAAAAGCTTAAAATAATAATAATTCCAAGAAAGGAAGGAAGGAAGGAAGGAAGGAAGAAAGGAAGGAAGGAAGGAAGGAAGGAAGGAAGGAAGGAAGGAAGAAAGAAAGAAAGAAAGAAAGAAAGAAAGAAAGAAAGAAAGAAAGAAAGAAAGAAAGAAAGAAAGAAAGAAAGAAAGAAAGAAAGACAGAAACCAAATATTCTGGTTGTAGAAATTATACAGGAAATAGTTACTGTTCATTTTTTATTTATTTGACAAGTAGTTATTTACCTTGTTCTTGGCACTAAGGCTATGGGAGAAAACAAAGTCCCTGCTTTCAACAAGTCACAAATATACATAAGTAACAGATGACCAGTGTTACAGGGAAGAACAAAGCAGGCTAAACACATAGTAAAGGAAAGCAGGTGTGACTGATATTTTAAACTGGGTGACTACAGAAGGCTGAATAATGTCAGCTCTCTGGGGGTGAAGCTTTCCAAGTAGAGGGGATAGCAAGTGCAAAGGCTCTGAGGTGAAAGCAGGTGTGGAATATTCAAGAACAGCAAGGTCAGTGCAGCTGCAGTAGAGTAAGCAAGGAAAAGAGTGAAGCCATCTGAAAAGGACCCTGACTGGTCAGCCACCAGGTCACCTTGGGATTTAAGCCACAGGGCCATACTTCTGAATGAAGAGGGGGAAGCCACACAGAATTTCTCTTAGGTAATGCAGGCTGCTGCTGTGCAGAAAGTAATGTAAAGTCGAAACAGGAAACAAATAGTTAGGACCAGCTCATTCATAGAGTCTGAAATTGTAGCCCCACCAGCCCTTCTATTTTTCTATGTCTCTCTCTTTCTTAGAACCAAAGTCAGCAGAAGCTGGAAAGGATCAGACAGATCCTTCAGTTGGTCCTTTCCATTTTCCTGAGAAGGAACTGAAGTCCACAGAAGGCATGAGATATGCCGAAAATTGTCATCTCACTAATAGAACAAACTGGCTCTCCTGAATCCTAGCCTGTAACTTTTCAAACCACAGGATGCTCTCTCTCTTGTCACCCCACATCCATGTTTCTGGTGTGGGAAGGGAAAGAAAAAGAAGGGATTATACCGTGAGTACTTCCAGGACCAAACTTTCCCTGGATCACCTTCGTAGCTCCTTCCACCTCTTGATTCCATAAAATCTTTTGTTTGTTTTTTAAATATGGAATGCTTCACAAATTTACGTGTCATCTTTGTGCAGGGCCCATGCTAATCTTCTCTGTGTCATTCTAATTTTTGTGTATGTGCTGCCAAAGCAAGCACTTGATTCCATAATGTTTGCTGTTGTTTTTAAGGTTTTCACCATAGGGCATGTGCACGCACCAGAGTGAGGAGATAGAGTGACAGAGGGAACGTGAGAAATCACACCGTAGGGGCAATGGCCACACTGCCATCTCTTTCC